CGCGGGCCCCGCTCCAGCAGCTCCCTGGCTCTGCTGTGCTGAGGACTCCAGAGCTGCCCCAGCACTGCAGGGGGGTCTCCCCAGAGTGAAAGCTGAATGAAGTAATGATGGAATGAAGAAGAGAGGATGACTATCCAATCATCCAATTAGTCCTTCTTACATGCTAAAGCAGTGCAGTTCCCAGTCTGGATGCTCTCATGAGCTCTGTGGAGTCCACTTTCAATTCATTTAAATGCCAGAATTTCCTCCTCTTCCCCTGGGAAGCTGCTGTTCAAGGTAGTAGCTGTTGCTGTTGGCAGATGTTTCCTCATATCTGCAGGAAAACAAGAGGATTAAACTATGTGGTATGGTGCTATTTGTCATAAATATGATGAATGGAAGTCTCAAACTAGATGGCTCACCAGTTGGAAATCCTGATTTTGTTTATGTTTTATATTCTGAGGGTCTAACACTGCTCTTCACCTACTCTTGCCCTCCTCTCATCCAGTTTTCTAGGATATGGGTTGTTACTGTAGATTAAAACCTTTATGCTTTATTAGTGCAGCATCATGGGGGAATCATAGTAATATATATATCTTAAAGATGCAAAAATTTCTAAGTACTATTATTTTTCATCAGCATACATCTTCCAAATACAGAGATGCATCTGCTGGCCTCAGATCTGTTCTTAAAGAAGCCAGTTGGAAACATGCTAATAGACCAGATGCATAGTATATGTAAAAAGTGCTTTAAATAAGTCTGTTGATCTTTATTTCTGCTAAAATCTACAAGTTAATATTTGGCCTTGTGCAAAGAGATGTTCTGATGTGTGAGCAGAGACCCGACAAGCACGTCCAGTGTTTGATGATGATAATGATTTTCCCTCAAGTTAATTCTGCCTGCACAGAGAAGTAGGAAGACTTTGACTAGAGTCATTCTCAGTGACCTTTTTGCTGTTGAGCTGGTGCAGTCTTGCTCTGTGATGGCTGAAGGTCTTGCTGGAGTTCAGGCTGCTCGTGGTCAAGTGCTGTGTGAAGGGTGGCAGGAGACAATGGTTGTGTGGAAGTGCTAAAGCTGTTCCTCAGTCCACAGCACTTGATATGTGTGTGGTGCTGTTATTGTTAATTATTTAATATTACAGAATCAGAGAACGGGTCGGGTTGGAAGGAACCTTTCAAGGGCATCTGATTCCAACCCCCTGCAGGGAGCAGGGACAGCCCCAACTAGAGCAGGGTGCTCAGAGCTCCATCCAACCTCCCCTGGGATGGTGCCAGGGATGGGGCAGTGACCACCTCTCTGGGCAACCTGGGCCAGTGTTTGATCACCCTCATTATAAAAGCAGTCTGCCTTCTCTCTAGTCTAAATTTCCCCTCTTTGAGTTTCAAGCCATCCCCCCTTGTCCTGTCCCAGCAGGCCCTGCTGAAATGTCCATCCCCAGCTTTCTGACAGGCCCCCTTTAAGTACTGGAAGGCCACCAGAAGGTCTCCCTGGAGCCTTCTCTTCTTCTCCAGGCTGAACAAGCCCAGCTCTCCCATCCTGCCCTCCCAGCAGTGGGGTCCCAGCCCTCACATCATCTCCATGGCCTCCTCTGGCTCCTCTCCAGCAGGTCCATGGTGGAGTTAGGCTGCTTCTTCCTGCACAGGCAGCCTGGCTGGGTGGGCAGAGCTGGGAGAAGACAGCCTGAGCCAAGTGTCCTGTGAACACTGCAGGATGAGGACAATTTGTCTGGCTGACCAGGCAGCTCTAAAATCACTTTCTGATATTAAACATTGTTATTATGAATGAAAATACTAAAGAGGATCCATGTGATGAAAAATAAGTTGGTGAGATCACCCTGTCCCTTTCAAAATCACCTCTTTCAATATATCCTTTGTCAGATGTCCTCCTGCCCACTTGTGAGAGCACCAAGCTCCTGAGCTCCTTCATTTCCTGAAGAAACTCTACAGCTTACCAGACCTTCCCACTCATGAAGTTTTTTTCCTGATGTCCTAGCCTGAAGCTTTCTTTTATAAAGCTGCTGACACTTGATTAATTTTGGAGAGGTGGTTGAGCCATGCTCAGACACCAAGTGTGAAAAGTGCAAGCAGCCTTGTGCAGGTGCCAATCTACTTTGGACTTACTGGACCATGGGTGGCTTTGAGACATTTTAGGAAAAAAGGCAGTGAATAATATTAGTTTTTTCCATAGTGAACTAGTGGCTTCCATCATCTGGAACACTAAATTACTGTATTTGTTATAATTTTGTATTATTTTAAGTAACTAAACCATTTTGTTTAATTACTCATCCATGTTTAAGCTCTAACTAAAGTTGTATGATAGGAATTGCTTCATGATGAGGATGAATTAATTCCTATTCAGAAGGTGCAGGAAAAGGAAATTGCATAAATATGAGCACTAGGTTTAAACACCCTTTTAAACACCTTTTTTTGGTTAAAGATCTTCAACCAAGCCTGTCAAGTAGTTAAAAGTGTTTCCTAAATGTTTCTTATTCTCTTTCACACATGCTTCAAGATGAGAATTCAGAGAGGTTTCTCTTAGGCTAGCAGAGAAAGAGAAGCCTTTTATGATGGAAATATTTGCAAGGAAGAACAATGAACATGAGTCCTCTCTAACTCATCCTCCATGTGCTGCTTAATTGTCATTATTTGGACTCACTGATTGCCCACAAGTCCAGGCAAACAGTTCCTTGGAAATAATTGCCAACTCCTTTTCTCAACTGCTTCCCAATTACCCACTTCATGGGCTTGGTTGGGAGGCAGAGGAGAGGGATGAATAACAGGTTCAGAAATGAAAAAGTTAACTGACACTGGCTACAAGAAACAAAGAAAGAGGAGAATTGGCTGGAGGGAACAGAGCAAGATATTGAAAACCAAATAAGTTCACTAATCCCATTTCCTGGAGATGGGTCTGGGCACTTGTGCTCAGGCTGAGCACACTCTGTGCTTTTCATAAATTGAATTTATTGACTCCCTCTTTCTTTCCTATCTTGCCTATAATTATCTCACCCTCTCTTCTGTATGCTCCTTATTTCTCATCCTGGCTGTAATCTCATGTCTCTATCTGTCCTTTTCTCCCCTTGTTAGAAAAGCCCAGAGAGCTGTTAATTCAGAGGAGTTTGACACGTTGTTGTATCTTCACTTCAGATCTTTCTCCCAAAGTCATGAGAAGCTAGTGAGATAAATTAAACTCTATTATTAATGTTTGCATTTTATGATAATAGCAACAGAGAGAAGAACTTACTTAATGGAGCCATTAAAGGGAAGATATTGGGATTGTCTCTGGCACGTTTTTGTGCTCCCACTGCTGAAATAACTCCAGCCAGACCAGTCACTGCACTAATATGGACCTTCCAGTGGCATTTTCATCACTTATCCTCATGCTGTCCACTCCTATGGACCAGGTGGCTCTTAAAATACCCTTTGGGGTTTTTTTTCCCCCTTTTCTTTTGTTTCCCTCCCTGGACTGCAGGGAGTCCTGGTTCCCATGTGGAAACACAACCAGCCTGTAGCTTAATGAAGCCTCTGCAGTGGTTTCCTATTAGACCACTGAATTTCAGAGGGATGTGAGTCTCTGCAGGCAAGTGAGATTTTAAAGGACTTCAGAGGATGATACCAACAGCTGCTGGTGTCTGGCAGCCTGGCTACAAAATGTTATCCCTCAGCCTTCTGACTATTATTTTAATTTGTAGGATAGAGTGGTCCTTAATCATGCACCCTAGTCAAAGTAAAACCATTATTTTAGCCTCATCCTCCAGTATTTTTACTAGACACCATCTTCCAATCTAATAAAAAGAAAAATGTAAAATTAGTATAGCTGGAAACACTGAACTGAAAGGCAATAAAAAGACATTTTCTTTTATGGCCACCATTGAACACTGCTGTGATTGAAGGAAGTTTAATATGGAAGAGTCAAAGCAGTTTCCCTTCACACCTACATTGGTGTAATATTAAAAAAAAAATCAAGAAAAATATTTTAAATACATGAAGTAAGGCTGTAGATGCTTTTAAACAGCAAGAGTCAAGGAAGAGCATTAAAAAAAGCCCCAGAATGTAACAAAATCAAGCCCTGGGACACTCCCAGTTGTCTGAAGATGAAATTTGGTGGGCAGAAATATGCATGTGATGAACAAATGCCTGCCATTTCTTTCCCTAGGACACTAAATAAAAGTAACACAATTTTTCTCAGATCTTTTGGGAATTTCCTGCGTTAACTTATGCAGTGTTAAATTTATGTAAAGTTAATATTCAGCCCAGTGATGGCTTCAAGCAAGTTTCTGTAATACCACTGCAAAAAGAGTCTTCCAGGTAAAGTAGCCTTCATGAGGTTTACAGAAACCTCTGGGGGGATCCTGTCAAACTGAGATTGGAGATTTTGTTAACTAATAAAAGTTCCCCTTATTTTTGTCTGTAATAGCACCTAGGGGAGCAGAAAACTGACTCCTTTTATTTTGTCAGCATGTACTTCTCTCTCCTGGATCCTGGAGAACATTTGTGATCACAAGGAAGGACCTTTACCATCTTTTCATGGGGATGCTCCTTGGTACAGCATTTAATCCTTGCAGAAAAACTGCTTGGTCTAGTTGAATGGTTCCCCAGGTTCTGTTTAAAAAAAACCATGAGAATTTGGTTAAAGACACACAACAAGAGGGTTTTAATTCCCTTTATTTTTAGTTTTCCTGAGCCCTGACTCCTGTGTCTCTGACAATACAGTCCAGACTCAAGACAATGTGCCCTATCTGGCCAGATACTGTCCCAGATGCTTGAGTCAGCTCTTTTTAGGTCTCCTGCAAGATTTTGAGGTTCACATTTGGGCTTGATCCTGACATAAGCCCTAAAAATTATCAAATCCCTTCCTACCATTTCTTAGAGGGGGACTCATCACTTCTGTCATCCCCATTTGATGGATTTTGTTGGCAAGAACAACAATGCCCTAGTCAACATCATGGTCCTCCAGTGAACACAGATGGTCTTCAGCATGGATTGACTGCCTAGCCTGTCCACGCCCTGTTAGGTCCAAACTTCTTTTAATTGCCTTGATAGCCATAGCATGAGAGCTGTGATAGCATTGGGATGGATGAAAAGGAATCATGTTGCAGCTCTTCAGGCCTCAAGTCTTCCAATAGCTTCGTCCTGCCTCTGTGACTTCCCTCTGTGATGATGTGTGTGTTGATGATGTTTCTTTTTCTATGTTTTTGGTTTTAAACATTGCAAATCCTGGGAAGGAATTGTCACCAGACTTCAAGGAGTCTCTGGCATAACTTTGAGTTACTGAAATATGTGTTCCTCTCTCTCTTCCCCCCCCTTCCCTAACCATTTTCTTAGCAGAGCATGCTTGGGAGAGGAGGATAAAGGCACCGTCCAAATCAAGCACAAGACCATCAACTCTAATTTCAGCAGAAGAGCATTTTTTTCCCCAAGAATGATATGACAGCCCATTTACAGGGCAGGCCAATAAAGAGAAGAACTGGAAGAGCCATTTGAAGAGCAGCAGCCATCACGGCTCAATCAGTGTGCCCATTTGAGAAGCCAAGACCTGTATCTCATTACCTCCGAAATCGTACATCCGAAGATGTTCTGTCTGTAGGAAAATCCACTTATTGGTGATTGAAGGGAAGAAAAGAAAAGAACCTTTCCCTGACCTTCCAAAGGGGAAATATCCTTCAAGTGCTGCTATTTCCTTGTAGCACCTCCTCAATCACTTCTGGCTGTTGAAGGCAGGGGGCTGTGGCAGGACGTGGTGGTCCTTGGTGAGCAGGTCAGGAGCAGAGCTGCTCCTCACCCTCCAGCCTCTTTGTGGCTCTCAGTAAAGTTTTCTTTACTGTCTATGATGACATAAATTGTGCTTTTAACTTATTTCCCCAATTATGTAACTAAAAGAAGTCTCTCTCCAAGCCTTCTGCTGGAATGATGTTGTGATCCAATGCTGCAGATGTACCATGGCCTTTATTTATGTGAAGGGATTCTGTTGTGCTCCTCACTCCTATCAAGTACTGATGAACATGCCTCCTTCTCTACCAACAATAAACACGTTTTCTGCACAAGATTGATGTTTCAGTCTCTGTCTTTCCTCTTCTCAGAGGCGGGTGGTCTTCCCTCTGCTCTGTCACTCCTGGCTTTCCAGCAGATGTTACTGCTGGAGCTTCAAAGCCCGGACTTTTATGCATAACCAACCTTTGTTTCAGGAGCTGTGCATCCAGAGAACTGTTTTCCATCCCAGCAACCTAAAAGGATCCCACGTGATCGTGTGCTGTGATTCATGCCCCACCAGAGCTTCAATTTTTGGAAAGTATTTGTGAATGAAAAGGCTCCAAACTGTCGTTACACATCCACCCACTTCCACTGAATTGTTTCTGTTCAGATAACGACCCCATCTTGCCAAGAAATGACAGGATCATTCAGGTTGGAAAAGACCCCTTAGATCACCAAGTCCAGCCCTCAACCCAACACTACCATGGCACGGACACAACTACAAACTAGGTACAGAGTGGGTTGAGAGTAGCCCTGACAGGAAGGAGTTGGGTGTTTGTTGGTGAGGAGCTCAACGTGAGCTGGCAGTGTGCTCGTGCAGCCCAGGAGGCCAACTGCATCCTGGGGTGCATCAAGAGGGGGGTGGCCAGCAGATCAAGAGATGATTCTCCCCCCTTTGCTCTTGTGAGACCCCACCTCAAATACTGTGTCCAGTTCTGGTGTCTCCACCATCAAAGGGACCTAGAGCTTTTGGAATGAGTCCAGAGGAGGCCACAAAGCTGATCCAGGGTCGGAGCATCTCTGCTCTGAGGACAGGCTGAGGGCACTGGGATTGTTCAGCCTTGAAAGGGGAGACTCCATGGGGACCTTAGATCTGCCTTCCAGTCCCTGAAGGGAACCTCCAGGAAGGCTGGAGAGGGACTTTTCATCAGAGTGTCCAGTGACAGGACAAGGGGAAATGGTTTTAAGTGGAAGGAGAGTAGGTTTAGCCTGGATCTTAGGAAGAAGTTCTTCAGTCCAAGGGTGGTGAGACTCTGGAATAGAAGGCTCAGAGAGGTTATGGATGCTTCTCCCTGGAGGTGTTTGAGGCCAGGTTGGATGAGGCCTTGAGCAACCTGGTCTAGTTGAGAGGTGTCCCTGCCCATGCCAGGGAGCTCGGACTAGATGATCTCTGGGGTCCCTTCCAACCTCAGCCCTTCTATGGCTCTGTGACTATAAATCATCTCTCAAAGCACCACATCTACACGTGCTTCAATTTTCACCCAACAGCAACAGTAACAGCACCAAATGAGCAACGTGCCTCAGGCCTTCTGCTGGTTGCTTACCTGGGTCTCTAACTGGCTGTGTTGGAGCTGCATCCTCCTCCAACCACGAGTGCACCTGCAGATCTCATTTACAGTCAAAATCTTGCCAGCGACTCTCCCATCCTAATTACCAAGATGCTTTGTGAGCCCTGTTTCATTAAGGTGATTTATTTTTTTTTCTCAGTGATACAAAAAGAAGCTTTTTTATTTGTTTTAACCTGTGAAGCAAGTGTAATCTCAGGAGGAGAGGGAGAACCTGGAGTTCAACGTCAGGTGCCAGGGAAGCTGCCTGGGAGAAGTCCTAGGGACAGAAGCGACGTGTTGACACGGTGACTCGCTGCCCTGTTTACAAATCAGCTCCCTCCCAAATTCTCCTTCCCAACGTTCCCTTTTGTGACAGGGAGCCAAGGAGTTGGCAGATCCAGCCTCGCCAGACTTGGAATTGGCAGCAAAACAGCACTGAGGAAAAACAGACGTTTCTAGGGCCAGCTGATTCTGTAAAATCCGGAGAAGAGCTTTGTGGGGAGGGAGGGTCTCTGTTAGTGCCAAATGTTTATTGGTTTCTCATCCTGAGAGCCCTCAGGGATGAGAGTCAGGCTTGCTTGCTTCATCCCAACTGTGTTTTGGGCTTCGTTGGAGATGTTGTGTTCTTTAAATGTCTTCTATAAGGAGTGGCATCTCTAGAGTGGGGTGCTGGAGCTTGGGGGATGCCCAACACAGCAAGCAGGGTGTAGACTTGATACCTGTCCACGTTGGGGACAAGTTTTCCTTTGAAGGTTTGGAATGTTCCTGGAGTGAGCTTCAGTTGGCCACCTCTTCTGCCTTTGCCACCTCTTCTGCCTTTGCCACCTCCTCCTCTGCCTTTGCCACCCCTCCTGCTTCATGCCTGCTTCCAAAGCACCAGGCTCTGACTTCTTCCTTCTCCCCACTTGCTGGGAGAGACCTCAGGCAGGAGAACAGAGTTGAGAGGTGATGTTGGACAAGGAATCCATAGATCTGCCTAAAATAGAGACTTTTGCCATCTTTTGTTCTGAAAGTGGACTAATGATATCTTTTTAAAGTAATTCAGAGCAAGGTTCATAGGATCTGAAGGAGCAAGAGGAGGGTGTGCCTGCAGCTTGCTGCTTGTG